GTATTCCATGGTAGAGATAAACCACATCTTCTTGATCCATTCATCTGTTGATGGACACTTAGGCTCTAGGAAAGTTCATTCTTATTCAGTTGTTTTTTACTTGAAATGTCTGCCATCTACCTTATTTGAAATAGTGGGTCCAAATTTAATCCTAACCCCCCGTCTCCCCAACCGCCTCTGCCCCCGCATCAAAATCTATATCACTTAGGCTCACTTCTTACATCCAGGTCTCTTCATTTTGATAGGTCCCTGCTCATTTAGAAAACTTGTAGAATTTGTCCTTCCAACCGTGATTTCACAAACCTGTGAATTCAGCAAACTCTTAAGATTCCAGGCTTCTTTCCAAAGCGCATTCATCCAATTCAAACAGGATTCGCCACACTACCTACAGTAAGGGTCATGGGACTCAGGCTTCCTCCTTGGTAGCTGCTCACCAGCATTCTCCAACCCACAAAAATAAATCGTTAGCACTGTTATATATGACCAAATTACAATGCAAAAACATACTCAGGCTCAGGGGAGATTCATGTTCATAGACTGAGCCTAGAGGAAGAAGACTGAAAAGCTGCTTAATCTTATGCAAGATTTGATGCTGGGGAGCCTGGGTGGCTCAGTTGGTTAAGCATCCGACTTCAGCTCTGGTCTTGATCTCACCATTTGTGGGTCTGAGCCCCATGTGCTGACAGCTAGCTCAGAGCCTGGAGCCTGCTTCAGATTCTGTGTCTCCCTCTCTCTCTGACCCTCCCCTACTCACTCTCTCTTTTTCTATCTCTCAGAAATAAATAAAACATTAAAAATAATTTAAAAATATTTAATCCCATCATTATTTCACTGTGAACTTGGTGTTGACAAGTCAATTCACCTATCTCAGATAACAGAACCGAAAACAGAAAAAAAAACAAACAAACAAAAAAAAGAAAATAGCAAAAAGCTTGTTGCACAAGACCAAATAAATAAGAATACAACTTACCCTGAAGTAAAAGGTTGGTCTGACATCTGAAAAACAATTACTGCAATAATTTTATTAAATAGAAAAAAAAGACAAAAACCACACAATAATCCTAATAGATGCAGAGAAACATTCCACAAAATTAAACACCTTTTCAGGATAAAAACACTCAACAAAAGGTATCTTCCTCAAACTAATAAAGGGCATTCAGGAACCCTTTATTTAGAGCTTTTAATAAAACCCTCAGTTAACATCACACATAATGGTGAAAGACCAAATGCTTTCCCCCTAAAATCAGAAACAAGAGAGGGGCACCTGGGTGGCTCAGTCAGTTAAGTGTCCGACTTCGGCTCAGGTCATGATCTCACTGTTCATGGATTCGAGCCCCACGTCGGGCTCTGTGCTGACAGCTCAGAGCCTGGAGGCTGCTTCAGATACAGTATCTCCCTCTCTTTCTGCCCCTCCCCTGCTTGCACTGTCTCTCTGTCTCAAAAATAAATAAAACATAAAAAAAGACAGAGAGAAAGAAGATGAGGATGTCCACTTATCATTCCTACTTAACACAGTACTGGATGTTCTGCCCAGGGCAATTAGACTAGAAAAAGAAATAAAAGGCATGCAGATCCGAGAGGAAAATGTAAAACTATCTCTATTTGCAAGTGAGAAGATCTTATATATTGAAAAAAAATCCCAAGAAACTACCCCCCCAAACTACTAAAAGTAAAAAAGAATTCAGGAAGATTGCAGAATACAAGAGCAATATACAAAAATCAATTACATTTCTATACACTTGCAAAGAACAATCTGCAAATAAAATTAAGAAAATAATTCTATTGAAAATAGCATCAAAAAGAATAAGATGCTTTGGAATAAATTTAACAAAGTAAGTATAAATTTTATGCTGTGAAAACTACAGAACACTGTTGAAAGAAGTTAAAGAAGATTTAAATTAACATAAAGATATCCTGTGTTCATGAATCACAAGGTAATCGCTCTGAAACTGATCTACAGATTCAACGCAACCCCTATGAAAAAAAAATTTCACCTAGCTTTTTTTGCAGGAGGTAATCTTAAAATTCACACAAAAAATGCAAGCGACTCAGAATAGCAAACCAATCTTGAAAAAGAAGAACAAAACTGGAGAACTTCCACTTCCCAACTTCATAACTTACTACAAAGCTACATTAATGAAGACAGATTGCACTGGTATAATGATAAGCATAGAATGATAAGTTCTATTAATGGAATAGAACTGAAATCAGAAATAAACCCTTACATAAATGGTCCTCTAATTTTCAACAAGAATGTCTATCAATTCGCAAATGACAGTTTTTTTGAACAAATGGAACTGGGTCAACTGGATATTCTCATTCAAAAAAATGAAGTTGGACCCCAGTCTAACACCTACACAAAAATTAACTCAAAACAGATCACAGACCAGGGTCCCGAGGCAGCTCAGATAGTTGAGCATCCAACCCTTGGTTTCAGCTCAGGTCATGATCTCATGGTTCGGGAGTTCGAGCCCCCCAATCGGACTCTGTGCTGATAGTGTAGAGCCTGCTGGAAATTCTCCCTCTCCCTCTCTCTCTGCTCCTCTCCCACTCACTCTATCAAAATAAATAAACTTTAAAAAAGAAAAAAAATAGATCACAGACCTAAATGTAAGAGCTAAAACTATAAAACTCATATGAGAATACACAGCAATAAATCTTTGTGACCTTGGATTAGGTATTAGTTAAAGTAACAAAAGAAAAAGTTTAGATGAATTTCAGTTCATCAAAATTAAAAACTTTTGTTTTGCAAAGGAAATTATCAAGAAAGTGAAAAAACAACCTCCAGAATGGGAGAGAACCTTCACTAATCGTATGTCTGATAAGAGGCCTGTATAGAGAATATACTAACACTCATAACTCAAAAATCAAAAGATAAATAATCCAAGTACAAATGGGCAAAGGATCTAAAAAGATAGTTCACCAAAGAAGATATACAAATGGCTGACAAGCACATGAGAAGCTCAACATTATTAGCCATCAGGAAAATGCAAATTAAAATCACAGTGAGATACTTCACACTCAGTGGGATGGCTATAATCAGAGACAGATAATGATATATGTTGGTAAATGTGAAGAAATCTGAAACCTTATCACCATAGGTAGGAATATAAAATGGTGTAGCCACTTGGGAAAACAGTTCCTCAAAACATTCAACACAGAGCTACCATATGACCCAGTGTATTCACCCCTAGGTATACACCGAAGAGAAATGAAAACATATGTCCACAGGAAAATCTGTAAGTAAATGTTCATAGCAGCATTATTCATAATAGCCAATTAGGAGAAAGAACCCAAATGTTCATCAAATTATGAATGGGTAAATAAAATGTATCCACAGAGTGGACTATTACTGGGCAACAAAAAGCAATGAAAGGGGCGCCCCGGTGGCTCAGTCGATTAAGCATCCGACTTCTGCTCAGGTCATGATCTCAGTTCTCGAGTTCGCGCCCTGCATTGATTGGGTTCTGTGCTGACAGCTCAGAGCCTGGAGCCTGCTTCAGATTCTGTGTCTCCCTCTCTCTGCCCCTCCCCAGCTTGTGCTCGCTTGCTCTCTCTCTCTCTCTCTCTCTCAAAAATAAATAAAACATTAAAAAAAGAAAGAAAAAAAGCAATGAAGTATTATACTGATACATGCTAAAACATGGACAAAATCTTAAAAACATTATACTAAACAAAAGACTCCAGTCACAAAAACTATATATTGTATGATTCCATTCAGATGAAAAGTCTGGAATATGCAAATCTATAGAGACAGAAAGCAGACTGGTGGTTGCCTAAGGCTGAGGGAGGAGGGAATGGGAAGTGACTGCTAATGGGATGGAATTTTCCTTCTTGAAATTTTTAACTGTGGTAAAGAAACAAAACAAAACAGAACCAAAAAGCCCCCACAAAATCTAAAGCCTACCATTGTAATTGTTTTTAAGTGTACACTTCAATCATGTGAAGTAGATTCACACTGTTGTAAAATAGATCTCCAGAACTTCTTCATGTTGCAAAAACCGAAACTCTACCCATTCAACTTCTCATTTCCTCCTCTCCCCAGACCCCAGCAATACTATTCTTGTTTCTGTCTCTATGAATTTGACTAAGTTCCTCATATAAGTGGAATCGTACTGAATTTTTCTTTTCGTGACTAGTTTACTTCACTCAGCATAACGTTCACAGGGCTCATCCATATTATATAATGGGATAGCACTTCTTTCCTTTTTAAGGCTGAATAATATTCCTTTGTATGTAAAGACCACATTTTGTTTATCCATTCATCTGCTGACAGACACTTACTTCTGGGTTGCTTACTTCTTGGCCACTATGAGTAATACCAACATGAACATGAGTATGCAAATATCTGTTCGAGATTCCGCTTCCAATTATCTTAAATACATACCCAGAAGTGGGATTGCTGCATTAGGAGGCATCTTTTTAAAATGACAAAACTATTCTAAAATTTGACAGTGGGGATAGCTGCACAATTCTAGAATATACTAAAAACCACTGAATTGCATGTTTCGAATGGGTTAATGACATGGTATATGAATAATATCTCAATAAAACTGTTAGAAATACAACTCTTAAAGGCTAAATCATGGATATAAATCCTTAAAGATTTTGACTTAACTGGATTATTAATCTGGCTAAATAACCAGTCAATCTTGTCATACAGATAATTTTGACACTTATTTTTGATGACCTGGCTAAATGTTTAGTAGGAGTTTTTTGAGGTGTAACCTATGTGCTTCTTCAACACTGATCATTAGAGAAAGTTGGAAAAAGAAATTCTCAGTGTCTTTAATTCAATATTAAACCTTTTCACATTTTATGTCAGGAAATTAGTGAAGAAATAACAAATTCTTCTAATTATAGTAAATTTTTATTTCATCTGCTCTGTAGGGATGCCATTCACCAGATTTTTAGAAGTCAGGGAAAATAAGGCAGGACTTTACTCACTCTGACTCCAGATTTACATTTTGAAATGTCACTCACAATTACTTCACACAGAAGAAGCTCAAAAGAGAGGGTTTATTCATCTTGTTTTTACAATACAAAATTATAAAATTATAAAGTACTGTGTCCAATGGCACCAAATGCGGAGAGAGGCAATAAGTTTAAAAAACCAGGAGAGAGAAATCTTGAGGGAAAAAAATGTGCATCAAATTCATATTCTTCTCATCTCGAATTATTATATACAACTAGAAAAACCAACAGCAATGCAGATGGCCACTGAGGCTCAGAAACTTATGTCATCATCTTTTCTGTTTTATCTAGACATTTTCAGTTTTGTCAAGACTCAAAGATACAGTCTTAGAAAGGCAATAAATGAGGTCATGTCAATGATTTCTCATGACCTCCTCTGATCAGAGCAAAGTAAAAAAAATCTTACTGGTCTGACTGATCATTTTAAAAAACAAGAGATTCTGTACAGTTCACAGCAAAAACACAAGCTTGGAAGTCAACTTTCAATTTCAGCCCCAAGCAGAGACCGAAACAATGGTTATGATCTAATTATAGAGATGGTTGTTACGTGGGACAGTCTTTCCTTCTAGATTATGAATCTTACACACTTTATCAGTGTTTCATAAATAATTCCTCGGGGTTGGTTTTAAGTGAAGACTGAAATACTAACAGTTGGATTCAGATCCTCATTACACATTTTTCAAAGTCCGTCTGTACGCAGAAGCCGAATTATGCATGGCGACTCGAAGAGTTGAGTTCCCCACAGGGATATCGCAGGAGTTGATGACCGAATGTAGTGCCCGGGAATATGCTGCAAATAAAGGTTTGCACGGTGATGAGTGAAGTCAGATTCTCAACTCCTCTCCCCACCTCCTTCCCATTAGTACTTCATCTCTACTGAGTCTCATAGGTATTAACTTTGCCTGTTCATTGAATACATATTTATTGAGTACTTAGCACATGCCAAGCACTCTGTGAGGACAGAAAAGATCACGAAGAGAATAGACACAGAGATAATTAAACTTCAGGGTAATACTTTCAATCCAGAGGCATATGCAAAACATTATCCAAAAATGAATTTCAGAACAAATTAAAAAACATCTAGGAAAAGATGGAAAAGATTTCCAGAAGTAGTAACATTTAAGATGATCTAGAAGGATTAATAAGAGTAGAGGAAAGAAGGCCTTCCAGGCAGAAAACTACATGGTACATAAGTTATAAAAGAGAGTGATGCGTACTGGAAATACCAAGTCCGATAAGGCTGGAGTGTCACCTGGGGCCAGAGAGAAACTATGCCAAATATGGCACACGTTCTGTACTGCACTGGGGAGCCCTCAGGGTTTTAGAAGAGAGGAATGGCAAGATGAAATTTGTGTTTTTAAAATTTAACTCACAGAGTTGAGGAGGAACTTGTATCACACAGACAGGGCAGTAGGAGTACAAATACTGGCAGTATTTTTGGTGTGTGCACGAAGCCTACATCATCTCTACCCTACGTAAATCAATATATTTAAGGACGGCTAGGAAACAGAAACATTGGTGACAATAATAAGGGCTCTGTTCTTCTTCAGCTGGGATTTCTGAATATAGAGCTGATACCGGTCTTCATTGTCCTCAGTGTCACCTGGCAGAAGTGGCAGTCTTATGTGATACGGATGGTAATCTGTCTACGGTAAATAACATTAAAGTATTTGGATAACAGGGAATGTCACTGGACAGAGGCCTCACTTAGATGGCCACAAGCTCTCATTGCTTCATTTATAGGAGGACCTAGAATCCACATCTCCCTATGGTAGAATGGAAATATATCCGCAGCATCAATGGACACAAGAAGGTAACAGATCTCAAAAAGGATTTTAACTCACTGTAATTATTTTTATTGTTTCAAGAGTTGTTTTGTAAAGGGGTTATAACAGTCTGTGATATCTAGTAAACACCCAATGAATGCTAAATTACTACAACCACTACATTTATTGTTTGGGTTTGGGTTTTTTTTTTTTAAATATTTATTTATTTTTGCAAGACAGAGAGACAGAGTGTGAGCAGGGGAGGGCAGAGAGAGAGGGAGGCACAGAATCCAAAGCAGGTTCCAGGCTCCGAGCTGTCAGCACAGAGCCCGACATGGGGCTCGAACTCACAAACTGCGAGATCATGACCCGAGCTGAAGTTGTTTGGGTTTTTTTTTAATTGCCACCAGGCCCCAACCATTCAAGAAGCTTACCTCTAGGGTTTTTATAGAAAATACAATTGTTGGCACAGGTATCAGGATGCGCATCCCAAAAATCAGGACCACAACAGCATAGTGAAGGTAAAGTAATATTATACAGCCGCATTTTCTCTTGGATCTGGGCTCTCAGAGCTTCTATATATCTATAAAGATAATAGTACGATCAGGCAGAGTGAACGACTAGGAAGAGAATGAGCATGAGTCCTTATTTAACCAGCTTTAACTATTAAAATTATTTCATATCTCCATGCCTCTACTCTTCCTCTTTGTATTGGGAAACGGCACTGGAGGAAATACCGTGCTATTTCCTCCTGAGCCCAGACTTTATGCAGAGCTTTTCAAAATACCTTTGGTATTCCTTCTCTCTCTGTTGTTTTTCTCTGGCTCCTTTGACTTCCTCAAGTTGTAGCTGGGCTATTATGTCACTCATCTTCTCTCCTGAACATGACTCTTCATGAAAGTTCCTTCTCAGTATCCTCTGCTCTTCGGCATAACGTTGCTGCTCTTTCTTTTTTTTAATTCTGAGAATAAAATCATAACATGGTTAGGAATTTCATAAAATCATTATTCAGAACTAGCCACCAGGACCAAATAATTCAAAGAATTCCCAGAAACAAGGGAGTCAGGAAATCAGTTTAGCACCCCTAGAATAGCCTCAACAATTCGTGCTGGCTGATTTGAGTTGATCCTACAGCTCACATAAACATATAACCTCTCAAATAGCAATAATCATTGGTTACAAACAAAAAGGTTTTTTGGGGGGCACCTGGATGGCTCACTTGGTTAAGACATAGATTCTTTTTTTTAAATTTTTTATGTTTATTTATTTTTCACACACACACACACACACACACACACACACACACACACACACACACACACACCATCAGTAGGGGAGGGGCAGAGAAGGAGGGAGAACAGAATCCAAAGCAGGCTCCAAGCTCTGAACTGTCAGCACAGAGCCCAACGCAGGGCTCGAACTCATAAACTGTGAGACCATGACCTGAGCCAAAGTCAGATGCTTAGCCAACTGAGCCACCCAGGTGCCCCAAAACACCGATTCTTGATTTCAGCTCAGATCATAATCTCATGGGTTCATGAGTTCAAGCCCCACATCAGGCTCTGCACTGACAGTGACAAACCTGCTTGAGTCTGTCTCTCTGCCTGCCTCTCTGCCCCTCCTCACTCTCTCTCTCTCGAAGGAAATAGATAAAATTAAAAAAAAAAGTTCTTCTGTAAGAATCCAAGTACAAAAGCATTCTTTCCATAAACGACCAAATAAATAGGTAAATAAACCAAACAATCAACCAGACAAAATACAAAAACAATGGCTTTTATGGCTCTCGACATCAGGCACTGAAAAACCGTGATTCTTGACAGATGGTACACAAATGAAGTGAGCCCTGTAACTGTCCAAGCCTTGAAAGTCTCCAGGCAGCAGCACAGCAGTGGGAGTGTTGAAGTAGAGCCTGGCGGACTGAGTTGAGAAGATAGAGCTCAGAGTCCAGGGACACAAGAGCAACTACAGTTCATAAGACAGAGATCTGCAGAGGTCTCCTTCTAATACACAGCAGAGTACTGTGCACATACTGGAGGAGAAAACCTGAGGTTAGAATGGGTAACCATCTAACATTCTTTATTACCATCAGAATGGGTGATAAGAGAGAGTGTCTTGTGCTCACACAGAGCTGGGAATAGTGCCTGTTCCCACCACTCAGACATGAAAAACTCCTAATGCATGGGGCATTGGGTAGAGTTTTCAGGATGATGTTACCACCACAGTGGGGAATAACGATTAGTCCCAAACTGAGCACTGCTCCAGACACAACCTAATAAACTATAAAAGCAAAGCTCTAAAGTAATATAGCTGCACCCCAGAACAAAGCTCAGAAAAATGTATATGAATACAAAGATATCCAGCAACCAACAAGGTAAAATTCACAATGTCTGACATCTAATTAAAGATTACCAACCATGCAGAGAAGCAAGTTTATGTTTTTAAAAGAAGCTTATGTTTTCCTAAATATACTCATAATTAAGAGAATAACCAATCAAAACCAACCTAGCACTGAGTTATTAGAATTAGCACAGAAAAACATTAGTTATTGTGACTACATTTTGTATGTTCAAAAAGTTAGGATATAAAAAAGACAAACTTTTCAAGATGAAAACTAAAATTTCTGAGATGAAAAATGCACTGGAGAACAAGCCTATATCTAATGGAATCAATAATTAATAACGTTTCAAAACCGAAAACACCAAGCCCACATGCGTTTACCAAACAATTGCATAAGAAATTATACCAATTCTCTACAACCTCTTTCAGAGAACAGAAGCAGAAAAAATATTTCTTAACTCATTCTATGAGGCCAGCATTACCCTAATACCAAAGCCAGACAAAGATATTACAGGAAAAGAAAACTAGAGACCAATATTTTTTCATGAACATAGAGACAAAAATCCTCAAAAATGTTAGCACATCAAAACCAACAATGTATAAAAAGAATTATGTGCCAAGACCAAGTGAGATTTATCCCAGGAATTCAAGGCTGGTTCAATGTGAAAAAAAATCAATTAATGTTATGTATCACATCAATAGGCTAAATAAGAAAAATCACACGACTCTAGAAATGGATGCAGAAAAAGCATTGACAAAATCCAACACCATTTATGATACTCTTGGTAAATTAGAACTAAAAGGAACTTCCTAAGCCTGATAAAGGTTATCTACAAAAAAGCCTACAGCTAACATCATATACTTAATGGTGAGAAACTAAACATTTGCCCACTAGGATCAGGAAGAAGGCAAGACCATCTCCTCTCACAACTCCTTTTCAACATGGTACTGAAAGTCTTAGCTGATGCAATAAGACAAGAAAGGGAGATAAAAGATATAGAGACTGGAAAGGAAAATAAAACTATCTTTGTTTCCAGGTGACATGACGGTCTATGTTCTTCCCAACCTGATCTATAAATTCAATGAAATCCCAATAAAAATCCCAGCAAGTTATTTTATAGATATTGACAAACTGATTCTAAAGTTTATATGGAAAAGGCAAAATTCCCAGAATACCCAACATAATGTTGAAGGATAAAAAGTTGGAAGACAGACACTAGTCAACTTTAAGACGTATTATAAAGGTACAGTAATGCAGACAGTGTGGTATTGGTAGAACAGACAACTAGAACAATGGGACACAACAGAGAGCCCAGAAATAGACCCATCTAAATATAGTCACTTGAACTCTGACAAAGAAGCAAAGCAATGCAATGGCACAAAAAACAGTCTCTTCAACAAATGGTGTGGGAATAACTGAATATCCATGTGCAAAAACTGAATCTAGACATAGAACTTACACCTGTCACAAAATTAACTCATAGAATTAAATATAAAACACAAAACTACAAAGCTTCTAGAAGATAACTTAGGAGAAAATCTATATGATCTTGTGTATGGTAATGACTTTTTAGATACAACACCAAAGGCACGATCCATAAAAGAAACTGATAAGCTAGACTCCATTAAAATCAGAAACTTCTGCTCTGCAAAAGCCACTGTCAAAAGAATGAGAAGACAAGCCACAGACTGAGAGAAAATATTTGCAAAAGATATCGGCTAAAAGACCATTAACCAAAATATACAAAGAACTCTTAAAACTCAACAATAAGGAAACAAACCTGATTTAAAAATGAGCCAAAGACCTGAACAGACACCTCAGCAAAGAATATACCCAGGTGGCCTTGAACAACATGAGTTTGAACTGCATGGGTCCACTTAGATGTGGATTTTTTTTTTTTTACAGTACAGTACTGTAAATGTATTTTTCTTTCTTATGATTTCCTTAATAACATTTTCTTTTCTCTACTTTATTGTAAGAACACAGTATATGATATATATGTATATATACATATGCCATACAAACTATGTGTTAATCAACCGTTTATGTTATTGTGAAGGCTTTCAGTGAACAATAAGCTATTAGTAGTTAAGTTTTGGGAGAGTAAAAGTTACGTGTGGATTTTTGACAGTGTAGAATGTTGCTGCCCCTAACTCCCATGTTGTTAAAAGGTCGTATGATTATGGGATCATGCCTTAGTGATGAGTGAGTGAGTGAGTGAGTGAGTGAGTGAGTGAGTGAGTGAATGGTGAGGTTACCCTTTGGTGAGCATTAACATGGAAGACAAATATTTTCGTATCTTTTGCCCAGAAAGGACTATATATTTCTCTCTTCCCCAATTCTCCTTGTCACCAACTTCCCAATAATGTTCCTTTTAAGTCCCCTGAGACCATCCAGCCAAACAACTGACCACAGCCCATGGATCAGCATGGACTCTTGCCCCTGTATAAGCATAAGAGTATAGGTTGAATGAACAGTAATATATCTTAGATCACCAAAACAGAGTCATAATGGCCCTTCATTCAATTCCCAGACTTGGGCTAATTTATAGATCAAGAACCTCTTGAATGAAGTGGAGTCCAGGTCCCCTTGAGGAAGGACCCTGCTACAATGCCAGAATTTTATACTGTTAATCTTTCTCTCAGTCTTCCACAAAGGAGCCATGATCTATCAGCCAGATGCCATAGGTCTCTGTGAGTCAGACTATTATAATTATTGCTTTGGCTCAGTTATCCAATTATGGTAACCACATCCCTCTTGTCTTGTTAATTAGGTACCATCCATTCCAGAATCCCATTATCCCCACTGTATCAGGGATCCCAATTTGAGGGCTGCAGTTCCTTCTGTAGCATTTGACCTATAGAGAAGGGTGACTACAGAACTCTTCGAGGATGCTGAGGCTTCCCTCACAAATTTTTCACATGTTGGTGAAAGTTGTGTCCCTCTTGACCCTCCCAGAGTTGGTGAACAGGTCCTACATGGTAAGTCCACTCTAACGTACCAATCTCCCTAAGCTTTCAGGTACCTTCCTCTACAATATGCCACAGCGATTCTGGCATTTAACTTCATTTCATATAGGCCACCTTTAGGTCCATGGTTTAGTCAACTAACCAAACTATTAAAGACTTTTCTAACCCCTTAATCAAAAAGATTGAATTTGGAGTCTCTGCTGAATGGGCATATACCAATAAATTCTGCCTGATCCAACTTGATATTCCATCCACCATGATCCTATCCTTTTATGACCTATTCTACACATATTTTCCAGATTTCTGTATATATGTAAATTGGAAAAAAATAGTGTACTCTTTTTGGAGTGTAGTGTATCTCCTCATAGGTCACCCTTTGTATCTTACTTGGGGCCTGCTGGAACTTGAGTCTAGTTATAGGTTGAGAAACCAAGAGTGCTGGCAGGGGTAGCAAATTAATAGAGGCCCAAATCAGGGCCGAGGCTTTGGGGATGGGCAGCAGGATCTGATGGTTAATTTTATGTGTCAACTTGATTTCAAGGACCATGGGGTGCACATTATTCTGAGTGCCTCTGTGTAGATGTTTTTGGATGATATTAACATTTAAATCAGTAGACTACATAAGGCAGACCGTCTTCCCTAATGTGGGTGGGC